ATAGGAAAATTATCAGAGGGAGACACTGAATAAAAGTTGTCCGCTTAGATATCTCTGTCTCACTCTATTTCTGCTGTTAAACAACTATAGCTGCACGAATGTGTTTATGGCAGTGAAATTACAGGGTGTGAAGGCATAACACCTTAGGCGTTTGAAATGTCAACGCATAAAGGGTGCCATGAGCATCACAGTATATTCTGTGACATCTATGGTCCTGTACGTGTGTGTGTGTAAGTGGGTCATCCAGCTTAACTGCCATCGTAATGTTTAAAAAATCGAATGACACAGTTTAATTTTTAATCAAAATCAGCCACAAGACTTCCTTATCATCGATATCATATCAGCCGTTAAGTGTCCACCGCTGAATATAGAACTCCCCCATAAGAGAGGATTTGCCAATAGTTGCCACACTCGGCAAGCAAGTTGGCAACTGCTTTAAAGAGACGCTGCTGCACATCGCTCGACCATAAGGAGTCTCACCAGAGGGAGACTTTGTACAAAAGTCGATTGCTGGATACCTCTGTCCTATTCGTGTTTCAACTGTAAAGCAGTTTTGTTTGCATGGCTGTGTTTCGGTTGGAAGGGTGAGATATGGCGTGAATTTACAGGGTACAGAGGAATAACACCTGAGTCCTCAGGAATGGCAACGCATAGGGGGTGTCATGGACGAAACAGTATACTCTGTTACGTCCATGGTACTGCTCATGTCTATAGGCGACGGTTACCACTTTCCATCAGGTGGGCCGTCAGCTTGTTTGCCATTCTTAGTTGTATAAAAAAAAGTTCCCTTAGTCGCCTTTTACGACATCCACGGGATCCACGCATTCTATGCCGGGATCATAGAAATTTGTCTGGTCAAAACATAATTAGAAAATTCACCTTGAAAACAGAATCAAAAATAAAGTTGCTTCCCGATATTAGTAATATTATTTGTATTTAATCAATTATCGAATCTAGGAATTTATTGGATAATTGAATTTCCCATCCGACATTTGAGGAACAAAAATACAAATTGGAATAGGAGTTAATAAGTAATCAAATTCGTCCGTTGCCAGGTTACGCCGTGTGATTTTCGTAGATTTCCACTAGTAGGGTTTCTGTGTTGTTAAATTCGTACAAACAATATTAGCGAACTTAGTAAATTCATTATTCCCGTGAAGATTGTAAGAGACACCGCAGAAGTAAATTATAAATTAAAATGTTGAACTTTTCTTTGAGACACCATACCCTTATACTATTTCTGAAATGTTTATTACATTTCAGAAATATTTGTTGACAAACTAAAACAATAAAAAAAAATTTTCCTTATTATGGGAAAGAACTATGAGCTTATTAAGCTCCTTAGTCGCTTCTTACGACACTCACAGGAAAGGAAGGTGAAGGTGAAATATATATATATATATATATATATATATATATATATATATATATATATATATATATATATATATATATATATATATATATATATATATATATATAATATCAGTCCTTACCCGTCCACTGACGAACGTAAGTGTTATCTACGAATCTGAAAGAAATTTGAAGATAGCACCGAACGAACGCTTCTAGCAAAATTTTTGAGCAAGTATAAACTTTGTAACGTAAGTTACCGTTAAGAACACAAAGTTCTCTTGATAGCAGCTTCCGACTTACAAACTCAGTTCTGCGATTTGTAAAATATTTCTTACAAAAAGTCGTATTTGAATGCGATTATTATAAAAACAAAAGTGAAAGTGACAAAGTCAAAAACAGTCCCACTCCTTTATTATTAAATGTCCGGAATTTAAATTTTTAAAATTAACAGTTGATTATAATGGCAGTAAAGTTTTAAATCGTATAATTGGAAAATGCAACAATTAATTAAAATTAATGACTAATATCTATTGTATATATTATGTACAGTATAGGACAATCCCCCATTAGATGGAGTGACGACCTCAAATGCATTGCAGGGAGTCAGCAGATGCAGGTGGTTCAGGGCCTTTACGTCAATCTATGGGGGAGATCTACCTTCAGCAATTGACGAATAAGGGCTGAGTTGATGAAGGCCTATTACATACTAAATGATTACTTACAAAACAAACGTGCCTGGCTCTAAATGATCATGTTTGAAACACTTCTTATCTAAATTACGAATTAAGTTTAACATAATATCTGAACATATTTTGTTTCAGATACAATTCAATATATTTATTTATAAAAGACACACCAACAATATGCTCACAATAATTAAGCAGGCAATATACAATGTTATTAGTAAGTAAAAGAGAAAAACTACTATTAAAAAATGCTTAAATCTAAGTTTGAACAAAAAAATCTTACTCCTCACTACCAAGCTTAAGGCCATATGAACACATCAATTAAAGGTGTATACAGCTCGCACAGATAAGCGTCAATGTACACTAACTAACAATTATACAATATTAATAACAATAGACTCGATTTGTCTAATGATTTTAATAACTCTCGTACAATAGTCTGTATTGATACATATTTCATATTGTAAAATCAACTTTTATTTAAAAAGTTGATTTAAAACAATAGCTTAGTTTTTTATTCGTACTTCTCCGTTGAAATTGCTGGTAGAATTATTGGTGATAGAATTATAAAATAATAAGTATTCAAAAATGCTTGTAATTAAATAAAAATATTATAAATAGTAATAATTACATCGTAATTCTAAAGTTTTGAATTTAAAAATATAAATATGTATTATTTCTAATGTATTTACTCAGGAGATTTAAAAGGGTAATAGTTATATTGCATTGCTAAAATGTTTACATTGATTTTTTTAATAAGGTATCTTATTTAAAAATGTAACAGTTAAATAATATTCCTAATATTTGTATTGGAAATTTATCGCATTATATACTTATCTGAAGTTTTAAATTCGATATCTTTTAGTGTAAATTTGGCGAAATATGTGGACTTATACCTATTGTTAACAACTATACACTTATCATGTTTCTTGTAAATAAATAAAAGAAGTTTCTTGTAAATAAACAAAAGAAAGATTTATAACTGTATAATTATTGAATATTTAAAAACTTTATAAATAAAATTTATACTTTAAAATATCACTTCCTAATCAAATTTATCAATATTCAAAATAAAGTTTTCATTACTTTCGTCAGTTCTTTGAGAGTTTATTGCCTCTATATATATTTTATGTAGCCTCCCGCAATAAAGACGATTGTAATAATACCACAATTTATTGAAATCTATCAAACGATTTTACTTACACGACGCACCAAAGTAACAGGACATAAGTATTTAAAAATAAATACATATGTTAGTCTGAATAACATTACACTCCTTCATTTGACAGTCGGATAATAGACATTATTATAATAATTACCCTCGTATTAAATACTGCATTTGCCAAATGCTTTAGTCCTTATTCATGACCATTTTATATATTAGTAAGTATATAAAAGAATTAATACTCTTTGCAAACTGGATAATCTTGAAAATACTGAAGCAAAACATAAGATAAAATAGTATCTAAAAAATTTAAATAGACAGATACTCTTTATTGTTTCCTCCAAAAGATTACAATAGTTAACTTATGATAGATACAAACGATTACAAGAAATGATCACAGTGAGAAAACAATAGGCGACCTTGTCGCTAAAAGCGATCTCTTAGAGGCAAACTTTGGATTTACATTTTGAATCTACATCACAATGCCACTGAATTATTTTTTTCTTTTTTTTTTTGTACAACTTAGAATGGCAAACAAGCTGACGGCGCACCTGATGGAAAGTGGTAACCGTCGCCTATAGACATGAGCAGTACCATGGACGTAACAGAGTATACTGTTTCGCCCATGATACCTTCCATGCGTTGTCATTCCTGAGGACTCAGGTGTTATTCCTCTGTACCCTGTATTTTCACGTACTTGTAATTAATGTACTTGTTTTCTATTTTTACACTTAGACGACTTAGGGACGAAAAATTGAGAATGATGTCGTGTCAGTGGGCTCATCGTCATGATTTCACTAGAAATTTACTACGAGAGTTTCTGAGGAGACGCTGTGGAGGTCGATCTGATAGGGTAAATTGCTTGTTTGTCTCCGTCACTAAAATCCCTTCTCTCATCGATTTATAGATTTATTAAATACAGCAAATGCAAATACGTAGGTTTATTTATGTTTTATTAATGTAAATAATATTTTATTAAAATCCAATAATTTACAATTCTGAGTCCGGACATCTCTTCATTTATTAAACGATATCGGACTCTGCTTTTAGTATATTTATATGAAATATTTTACGTAGTAAATATTGATATTAATAGTTAAATTTATTAAATATTAAATTCAATATATAATTGAATTATATAATTTTTCTTCAATTTTGTATAAACTTTACCAACCTCTTAACAATTTATAAAGAAAATGAATAATAAATGTTATACATCATTAGACAATTTTATTTCTTTTACTGATAAAAGTTATAGTTTATATAATATTAAAGAAAAATTATACAATTTAAAATTGTGTTCCACAAAAAGAGCAACTTCAATTAGTAACGAATAGCAAAATACTCATTTTGCTATTCGTTACTAATTGAAGTTCAATTATTCGTTACTATTTTTATTTGAAAACTACTAAACTGATTTTGATAAAATTTCTGTACGATCAATCTATTAAGTCTTTCCAATCCTTTCCGATAAAAAAAATTCAAACTTGTTTATAACTTTATAATAACGGAATAATGTGGGAATAAACATATATATAACTGTATTTAGAACTTCTTTTTACAGCCGATTGAAAATAATACATAATTTATATTCCAAATCATTAAAATTCAATTTAAACTCTCTGACCAAATTAAAAAACAATATTTTTAACAATTTTAAATCCAGTTGGTTTAGCCGACGCGCAAAACAACCGAGAGCGGCTGAAAATGAACAAAAAGCACGTAGCAATGTGCGTACACCGTTCGCATAATTTATGAATGAATAAAAATAAAATTATGACGTTTTCACTCACCAGGCTTATCCAGGTCACTGATTAATTCTTCCGTGTCCACATACCCGAGGACGCCAACAGCCAGAACAAGAGTCAGGAGTGCGGTGGCTTCGGCAGGCCCACCTCCTGCCCTCACACATCTGAGTAACTGCCCCATTAACACTTCACTATCACAGGAATTTACATAATAAAACACCCAATACTGTCTCGTATAATTTTATTCCTAATAAAAAAATATCATTTCCTCGTAATCCGACCACTTGTCTAGTATCCTTTAACACTTTAACGAACTGTAAACTTTTGATCTCAATGAACAAACACAACCGCACACGTGTTGCCCGACAGTAAACAATCTACTTGATAAACAGCCGTGACGTGAGAGCGTGCGTACGTCTCTACATCGCTACGCCTAGAGGCACACTGATCGAAATCCGATAGACGACGGAACAATTGCTCATCCGTTGAATTCGAATTTTTAAATTTTGAAAATCGAATAATATTTTTATTTTAGTGATGTGCAACACACAATTTAGATGTAATAGCTAGTATTGTGACAGTTACTATAGAGCGCGACATTTTCGAATAGCTGCTAGCGCCCCGCACAAGAAGTACGCTTTAACGGTTACGGACAGGGGCGCTACAAAAAACACAGAGAGTTTTTGTAGCACTTGGTTTTAGGTCTTGTTGTTTTAGGCACATGATGAATATTTTGCATAAAGTCAACAAAAACCCGTTCCCGGCCTTCGATTAAAGATATTTTTATTCTCTCTGTTAACCGAGTTTTCGTGTGAAAATAGCGAGGAGTCTTTCTTAAGGAAATATAAAGTCTCACGGATAAAGGCTTCATACCGCAGCGGCATACTTCGTAACGTACGTACTATTTATAGAGATAAATGGAAACCTATTGAAATAGGATCTATTCATTTCATTCATTCATGAATGAACTCATACGATGTCATGCAAACTGACATCGTGTGATTTACTACACTTTTTCACTAATATTATAAATGTGAATGTGAGTTTGTTTATTACCTTAGAACACCTAATTGCTTAACCAATCATTATGAAATTCGATACACGTACTATATAGGATAGGCAAAGATATAGACTACTTTTTATCCCGTTCTTCTTCGTTCGCGTGACAGGGATATGTTTATCCTTGTCACGCGGACAAAGTCTCGGGTAAAAGCGAGTATTATTTATCTAGTAGAGTATTATTTATTTTGATTATTTATTCGATGTCAAGTTTGAATAATCGCATTCAGGTTGAAACTACAGATTTTAAAACAAGAAACTGATAAATAGCTAGTTAATATTGTCTATACAAATTATGCGTCCTCATGTAGTAATCTCAGCTGATTTAACAACTTTAATATGGATTCAATTTCTTCAGTTTTCTTCTCTCGATAACTAAACTTATAGTTGAATGGAATTATTACATTGTGTTGTTTATTAATGTTCAAAAGTCGATTGCTTGGGTACCTCTGTCACATTCGTGTTTCAACCGTGAAGCAGTTGTGTTTGCATGGCTGTGTTTCGGTTTGAAGAGTGGGATATGGCGTGAATTTACTGGGTACAGAGGAATAACACCCGAGTCCTCAGAAATGGTAACGCATGGGGGTATCATGGGCGAAACAGTATACTCTGTTATGTCCATGGTACTGCTCATGTCTATAGGCGACGGTTACCACTTTCCATCAGGTGGGCCGTCAGCTTGTTTGCCATTTTAACTTGTATAAAAAAAAATTGTTATATTTAAGTTTACAATAATCACCCATAAAAGGAAATACACTACAATTGCAAAATAGTGAGGACAAATTGTTTTTTTTTCTGTTTTAGTGGCAACTAGCTACATACGGTGATATTTCTCGCATCTAGCTAGTTAGTTATAGCTAGTTAGTGGTTAGTAGTACTAGTTAGTAATCTTACTAATATATTAAAATGGTAACTAGACAAATCTGTATCTAGGATATATTAAAAAGAACTAATATGAGACTGTCTTAATAAAACCAATAGATTCTAAAATAATTTATAGAATTTTCGTCTGACTGTTTGTAGACTTGTCTGAATATGTAATATATCTCTATACTAAATTATATTTAGCCATTTAAGCGTGATTAGGCAACAAATATACAAATCTCCGTACATCCAAACATACATTTGTAATATTATTTGGATTTTGTGGAAACATCTAAAACTACCAAACATAGTAAGTGCGCTATTCAATAAGTCATTCCGTCCATCTTAAAATTTTATTACGCAATACTGAAACTTTCTTATATATTTTCGCCGAAGGAGTAATACATTCGTTTTTATATTACTTTTATATGTTCAACAAACTACTGCAAGAGACACTAGTGCCTGCACGGGGACAATAATAAACATCGTAAACATTTACATGCTTGTGAAAAACAAACTAAAACACCAAGAAAGAATGTTACTTGAATTGTAAACCAAAAATTTTGCATCAAACGAACTAAGACTTTCACAATTTTTTTTTATGGGTAGTGATGGAATGGTAACTCCGCCTGCGCTGTCGGTATACACTGGCGGGGCACCAGTGAGGGATGATAAGCGAGGATGTAAAGACATGTCAGTTAGCCCATCGTGATGAATACACTTGGAATACAGCACGATGGTTTCCAAGCGGTCCACGTGGAGGTCGACCTGACGGGTTATGTTGTTAGCAATGGGGCCCTTAGGCTACATTAATAACAATCCGTTTCCCCCTAACTAAAATATTATCTACATATATGTATAAACTTTTTGTTTGTGTATATTTATATAATTCATTTATTATAAAGTAAAAGACGCGTGTACAAGGCGGACTTAATGCTAAAAGCATTCTCTATCAATCAAGCATAGGGAAGCGAAATACATGTCAGCATTCAAGCATTCTGACGTATGAATGCGGAACTAGTATTAATTGATATACAATACATACAAAGTAACATTTACATAATATATATATATATATATATAGAATAAAAAAAAGAAAGAAGAATACTCTGTTATGTCTTACCACTTTCCATCAGGTGGGCCGTCAGCTTGTCTACCATTCTAAGTTGTATAAAAAAGATATACTACGACAATCAATACATACAGACTGGGCACTGTGAGTATGCGATACTAAAAAGTCCCTGCAAGACTGAAGATGAGTATACATAACAGATAATATATACTGCTCGGATAAAGTGTAGAAGTGGACACGAACTTTTTTTTATGACGGTGTAGACGGTAGTCTCTCGATGGCGTCATGCGGCGCGTTCCAAAGCCGTGAAGAATATAAAATATAAAACAAAAGAATTTGATATACTCGTAAAACCAGTATGGTGGGAGGGGATAAAGGTTGAAGTGAGTTTGAGAAAAATAATGGAATTTACGGATTTAAAGATTGTAACCCCCCCCCCCCCCTCACCCCCCTCCTCTGCCCAATAGAAATTTATAAAGGTCATCGCCCTTTTAAACCCTAATGATGTAAATATAGTTAGATCATTATAGCCACTCCTTCCTATCCCTTAGATATCGTAATAGACAACTGAGGGAACTTAATGATCGAAGGACTTCTTAAAACATCACCAAAAGTCAAACTGCGTTTGTCAATTTTCCTGTCAAGGGTGGCAAATGACTGGCCCTATATAGAATATCGCCAATGGTAAAACAGCGAGATTTTGCCATAAGGAACGCTCCTGTTTCTTATGGCTGTCTATGGGGAAGCTGTGGACAGATAACAGCTGATATGATTATAGATATATATAGATATATGATACAGATTAGATGGAGCCATAAGTGGTCAAACGGAGAATTGACGTGATCGAAAATAAGTGTGGGTTTTTAGGTTATTTATATATATATATAAAACTAGTTTATACTCATGACTTCGTTAAATTGACCTCCAAATATATAGTTATATACATATATCAACCATCAAACATAACCTCTGCCTATATTTTTTATCATTCCAAATACTACATGTATTATATACTAAATTTTTAACACTCAATTACTATTAAAACGGAAGAAAACAAACAAACAAACTCACATTCTCATTAAAAATGTTGCGTCTCACCAAACTAAGTGAACTAACTAAAATATTACCTACCATTATAGGCGCTACTAAGAGCCATGATTTACAGTCACAGATAGAAGATCTGGTACGTGAATTACTTACTGTCCACGGCTAACTATACCGGAATAATTTAGTACGCTACCTACCGAGTACTAAATAATATATCCCATGCCTAGAAGTTAGTACTAAGTAATTAATGAATTAATGACTTTTTTATTACCACCACTAGGACAATGTCTCAGAAGCCGTCTGCTTGAAAATTACCAAAGAGAACAGTATGTCCCGAACTCGCTGAAAGAACTTTTAAAAAACTCAACGACCTTTTTTGCTCTTTACATAATAATAATAATAATTATATAATAATTATTATCTTGATATAATTTTAACAATTCAATTTTTTTTTCTACAGCACAGGGGGCATACGAGCATGCGGCTCACCTTATGGTAAGTGACTACCGCCGCCCATGATCACCCACAACACCAGCGGCATTGCAGGTGTGCTGCCGGCCTTTTAAAAAGGAATATACTCTTTTCTTGAAGGTTATGTTGTCGTATCGATTCGGAAATACTGCTGCTGGAAGTTGATTTAAAAGAATGGTTGTGCGTAGAAGAAAGTGCCTTGAAAAACGCACGGTGGAAGACCGCCACTCGTGCAGATGTTTAGGATGAAACTTTAGTTTGTGGCGGATTTTACGGTGGTGAAAATCAGCAGCAGGTATCAATCCGAACAATTCATCAAAACACTCCCCGTGATAAATTCGGTAGAAAATGCGTCCAGTTTCAATGGGTCAAGTCGTACAAAATATCTTAATCATGAAAATTTAATATTTTGAAAGAATCATTACGATACTCGTGAGCTGTATAGGCAGAGTCCTTTGCCTTCCCTTCTTTTTAGAATAAATATTACCAAAGAAAATTAATTACAAATGTTCTTTTTTACCAGGAACTCTAAGCTGTGATATTCAAGATTTACTACGTGTATGCCTAATTTTTTGACAATCATGATGCTTAGAAGCAACAAACAAACTCATGATTATATATATATATATATAATCTACATGCTTGTATCTTAGATTCAAAGGATATGTATCATATATTTCTTATATATTAATATATATATATATATATATATATATATATATATATATATATATATATATATATATATATATATATATATATATATATATATATATATATATATATATATATATATATAATCTACTAATGCTTGTATCTTAGATTCAAAGGATATGTATCATATATTTCTTTACCAGCAGGCACGGCAGTGGCCAAGCGACAACGGCGGTACCATTCTTTTCTAGAAGCAACTCACGGC